TAAACAGCGATATTGATATATATTTTGAGCTATTGATAAGTAATTGTACTGTCATTCCATCCAGACTTAGGACCCTCACCAACAACCAAACAGAGGAACAACCACAAACAATGGTAGACTTTCAAGGCTGGCGGGTGCGGCGGTCGTGACAAACGTTCACTCACTCTCCTGTTGTCTCCCGGAAGTCTATACCATCATCATCATTTCTAAATCATTCAGTAAAACCTAAACTATAAGAGCTCAAAGTATGGATGTTATGAACAGATAAAGTTTTTGACGACGTGAAACTCCTTGGATGCTGTACAGGAGAAAGAGAGAGAGGGAGAGAGAGAGAGAGAGAGGGGAGTAAGGGTGTGTTGGGGTTAGGGGGTTAGGGGTGGTAGCGACAACGACGGTGGGGATTATTCACGGAGGCCCAGGCAACACCCTTCCTCACCCTCACCTTCCCTCCCTTGCCTTCCTTCTCTCACCCACTCTCCCTCTCTCTCATTTTGTACTCCCTATCGCTAAGGCCACCCTCCTTTCCTCCTCCTCGACCACCTTACAACCTACTGTACTTCCTCTTCCTGAATGAGACCTATCTTTCCCTCCCATCCTCCTCCCCTCCCCATCACTACACACAACGTACCCTCTCTCCCTGCCCACAAACCAATCTGCCCGTCACTCCAGACACCGATGTCCACCTTCCTTCCTTCCTTCCTTCCTTCCTTCCTTCCTTCCTTCCTTGCACCTCATATAAAAAACAATTGCCCTACACAAATATTTACCTGTTATGATGCTGGGTGGCTGGACAGGTGAGAATTTCCTGATTCTTAATTAACGAAGTCTGTAGGTTACTCTACCACCATATATGGATAGCTAGCTAGTTCAACCACGAGTTGTACCACCATTAGTAAACATTCTCGATAACAACTCATATTATTGCTGAACGTGCATGAGTTGCCATTATTATTATGATTTTCATTGGCGGTGTTGACAATTCTTATGGCATGCGTTGAACGAACTTGCTTCAGTCGTCAATTTTTATACACACTCTGGCGCGACTCTCAAGTTTCCCCGCGTTTTTCTTCTTTTTTATTAGCGATTAATGAACGTATTTAATTGGCTGTCTTTTAGAGATACAAGATAAAAGGCGTTGAGGTCGAGTTTATTTTTTTTAATTATAATAACGGAAAACAAGTAGTTCACGTAAGTTTATGAATATGGTCTCTGGGTATTGGCTATTCACACATTTTATATTTTACCCATAAAGCCGACAAATACATATCTCGTAAAAAAAAAATCGGGGAGCAATTAGGATGAAAAATATCACCCCTTCAATGTATTTTCTCACCCTCCTTCCCTCCCTCTTCCCTCCTTCCCTGAATTCCTATCTTGTGTTTTCATCGACAGCTGGCGAGGGTATAACGTCATAATGTAAACACAAAGGCCTGTACAAAAAAAAAAAGACTTAAACGATTGAGAACACTTAAGAATTCTAATAAAATAAATTAATCTAAACGGCACCAAAAGCACTAAATAAGGATGAGACGAGATAAAGGAATCATGATGAACTAGATTTTACGAGAATGTTGCCTAGATTTATAATAGGATCCCATTAGTGTGTCTGACTATTGACTGAACATCTCTTCAACAACAACAACAACAAAAACAATAATATAATGAAAACATTCTGGCGTAGGTATTACTATCTGTTAGTTGTATTCATCTCCCTATGACATTCACAATACGTCACTCACTATAAGACACTCTACAGATCACTCACTATAGGTTACTCACTATAAGACACTCACAACAGGTCACTCAGGATAAGACGCTCACAGCAAGTCACTCATTGCAGGTCACTCACTACAGGTCACTCACAATACAGGTCACTCATTACAAGTCAATCACTATAAGACACTCACTACAGGTCACTCACAATACAGGTCACTCACCAAATATTTATCCAAACAAAAAATTTCAGAGTAACTACGTGATATTCAGTAAAGACAATCAACTGCCTGAAACATTCAAGTAAACACGTAATAGTAATGTTTCTGTTGGAGTTGCTTAGTATACGTGGTTTTAGCCAGCCTTGGTCCTTTGCCTTACGCATGACCTTCAGCTGTAGTTGTCTGGAGGGTTTCCTTGACACTTACTTACTTACTTACTTATAATCCTCTCACTTCCATACACAACCTCTTAACCATTGTATATCATTATGAGGACAAGGAGAAGGACGGGTATTTCCTCCAATCGTCCTAAATTAACACGCTCCTCCTCACTGCTGGCATCTCACCGTTCATAGTTCACTACCATAAGAGACCCACGCACTGTATATATATATTTACCTCCATATTATTATTCCTATTCTTAGGTTCTTTGTATTTCTGATATTATCTTCTCTTAATATGAACCTCATTACCAACGCTTGAATGACCTGCTCAAGTTAGGTAAAATTGTGTGTTGTAGTCATGGCAATAAACCTTTAAACGAGCTAAACTAATCGCCCACACCAATATGTTTATAGATTGCTCTGTCTTAAGAATGCACGTTTAGATAGATAGATAGATAGATAGATAGATAGATAGATAGATAGATAGATAGATAGATAGATAGAGAGATTCAGTCATCTTGAGTATTGTTTGGGGTGTGTATTCGCATTGAAATCTCTCTCTATATATAGTGTACATGTATACATACGTGTACCAGTTGTGTTAGATTGAGAATAGATAAAAATAAGTGGAATGATTGTGGTAGCCGTTGGAGGGGCTAAGAGAGTTGTACGTAGCGACGGTTGTGGTGTGCTAGACGTAAGGCGTAGCGTTTGGTTGCCGGCCACAGATAACACAGCGGCCACCCGAACGAGTTGAAGGTCACTGCTGCCCGCGGTCCTAAACCCCCACACACCCGCCACCACTTCTCTCCTGCCGTCTCTGTGTGCTTGCCTCTTTCCTCCTCCCCCCCCCAACCCTTCTCCTCCTCCTCTCCTCCCTCCCTTCTCCTCCTTCCCGCATCATCTGGCTGGCTGCTTGTTCGTCCTGTTCTCTGCACAACCTGTTTGCTTGTTTCCACTCCTTGCGGTACACCCTCTAGTCTTGGTCTTCCTGTATCCCACACTCTCTACTTGTTACCACACCTGTCGTCTCTCTCTCTCTCTCTCTCTCTCTCTCTCTCTCTCCGCGGTTCCCTCCATCTACTGTACACCAGTTCTTTGACTATACTACTTTGTTCTACGCTGCGTTTATTCGGTTTCATGCCTCAGCCCTTCCATTTTTGGGGAGGGAATGGGATCTGTTGCTCTCCTTCCATCACTGTTCTCTTTTCCCTTTCTATTTTTCCCCATCTCTTGCCTCTTCCATATTCTGTTTGCTATTTTTCATTCCTGTGTTATTTTGTTCTTTGTGTCTTCTGCTTTTCACCTCAAGTTGATTTAAATTTATGGCTTGGTAGTTCACTGGACACGGGTTCGATTCCCTGTTGAGTAAGCGATGTATAATTGATATCCGATTTAGGTCAGTAATCAACCACTTTCCCCCACCAGCTTGTCGTAAAACCACCTCAATTATTCCCAAAGGTTGACGCACCTGCTCTTCCTCAACCTGTAATAAGTGACGCTGACCCATGTGGAAAACGCTCACTGTTGACTCGTTCCGGACAATCTAAGCTAGAAATAAGTCACGCTGTTAAGACACACTGTTATTCTTACCTCTTCAAGTCCATCACAAACTAAGGTAAAAAGTAAAAGCAAAAAATGGTCTTAACAGAACACTAATTTCCATTTTCTGTTCCCAAGATATTCTGAAACACAGTTGACCTATTTCATGTCACTTAGGTCTGGCCAAATACATATAGTGATACTACTCAAGGGGAGAGGGACACTTTGAGTCTTTAGCGGGTGGATAGTTTACCGGAAAAGACCAAATACCGAGATATTTTCATGAAGTTGGGAAATGGTGGAGGCGGCGGCAGACCGAGACATGGAGAGACAGAATGACATTCCACGGCACTGGTTTCATCGAGTACTGCTTCAGTATGAGAGGTTACGTTTACTGGTGCAATGGGATTTCCAGAGTATTCTATGAAGGCTCGCGTGTAAGAACTGACCCAGGCAGAGGATGAAAGCAGGAAAACTTATTAATACCCGGTTACACCAGCGCCTTCTTCATAGATGTGTGTGTGTGTGTGTGTGTGTGTGTCACAGTAACATTTTACTCATCTGGGTTTTAATAAAATGTGATTATTCTGAATAATAATAATTAATCATACCACGCTATATATCTGCTTACAAAAGCCTGTTACAACCAGGTTGGAGGACGCGTGTAATGAGGAGGCGCCTCACCATCCAGCTGGTCATCATTGTCTTCAAAGATCTTACACCAATAAAGTGAAAAACGTTACACCTCAACATGTACATCAATTGAGATAACATATACAGTTAGGTAAAATAAGTAAGTGTAAGGAAGTAAAGAAGCAAAATTTCCAGGATAACCTAAGTTAGCGGTAGAGTTGGTAGATTTGTAGGCAGGGGAATGGATTTTGTTTCGGTCCAGGTCCGGATACTAGTGCGTAACTAGTAACTGTACTAAAAGTACCAACATATTCTATTTTATTTAAAAATACCCATCTTCTTTTCAGTAATCCCAGTACACCAGTCTTTCATATGTCGGAGCCTCTGGTTATCCATTAGGTTGACATCGTATAATTAGAGGGAGTGAGATGCCTGGATTGGAGGCGTGAGAAGCTCCCCTGGTGGAGGGTTAAGCCCACGCCCGCCACCGCCCACACTCCTGAGTTTCCCCGTATGCCATGACGTCAGCGACTCCAACAAAGCAGTATCACTATAACTTTTATCCCGCCCAGAGTGAAGTGAGACAATTCTTTTAAATATTAACCTTTTATTCACACTATTACTGTAATATTCTGCATAAGAAATAATGTTAGGGTAAGTATAGCTTGAGGACAATGGTGTGAGAATTGAGTGTTGTGGTGGTGTTGGCAGGCTGAGCGCGTCCAAGTTCGAACCCAACAGGAGTGCAAGTCTGACTCTCCCGGGAGAAGGACCCAGGTCCTCCCTCCTCCTTGCCATTACTTCCGCCAAAATGTTCGACGTTTTTGGTATTATCCGTCGGTTACTCAAAATCGATCAGACTAGAATAGATAATGTGATCTTTTGTTTACATTACAAAGCGACAATGGTGATTTTGGTGGCGTTCAGTTTACTGGTGACGAACAAGCAGTATTTTGGTGACCCGATCGACTGCATGGTGGGCGCCATAAACAGTCACACCATCGACATGTTTTGCTGGATCCAGTCGACGTACACGATACCGTCGTTGACTGGTGCCGTGGTGGGGGAGGAGGTGGCTCACCCAGGTGTCTCCAATCACGATGTTGTAAGGCTACCTGTCATTAACGGCGACGACGGAGCCCGTGAGCAGTACACCATCAAGCACCACACGTACTACCAGTGGGTCACCCTCGTCCTCTTTATCCAGGTCAGTGAAAACAACTCGGTGGTTTATTTTTTCTTCCATCAAAATAAATATATGAACGCAAGGGTCTTCCTCAAGGGTGGTTTTTACCCCCCACGATCTTCCTTCTCTCAGTTTAAAGTACTTATCCGCAAGATCTTTTGTCACCTGCTATCTCAAACTCAGTATCATCAGTTTCAACTCATATATTGTACCCGTAAATGGGAGTTGGTGAGAATGCATCCAGTTAGGACATAATTCTCAATGAAATTTCGGAGCAATTTTCGCCCCGTAACTGTATGTTAGACGGGTTCTTACATTCCTAGTCAGGAGTCAGGTAGTATGGTGATGTGGTAGTTCTGGGTACTGTAGCAAGGTGGTGTTATAGTGTAAAAGCGTGGGAGTGGTAGAGAGATGGTGTGATTTCTTGCCCCGTGTGAAGATAGTGAATAGCGTGACGTTCAACACCCGCTCCATTATAACTCGTGTCGTGCAATGCAAAAGATCTAGTGAGGTGGAATACGAATAAGGGCGTGTGTGTATTGATGTGGTTAATGTGGAAGCATGTCATTGTAACTGTGTGGCATTGTGGCAATGTGGTAGATTGGTAGTAAAGAATAGGAGTATGATAATGTGAAAAATTGGTAATGTGGCAACATGGTCTACGTGTGACAGAGAAGTAAAGTGGCCGTGTGGTAGAGTGGTGGTGTGGCAACATGGTGGTGTGGTAGACGGGTAGTATGGCAACATGGTAGTGTGGTAGACGGGTAGTATGGCAACATGGTAGCTTGGTCGCATAGTAGATTAGTAGTAAAGAGTGGTAGTGTGATAATATGACAGTGTTAGTGTGGCAACATGGTAGTGTGGTAACATGTTAGTGTGGTAATGTAGTAGAGTGGTTGTGTGGCAGCATGGTGGTGCGGTCGGGTGGAACTGTGGTAGCGTGGTAGTCAAGCACTTGTCCTGGTCAGGCAGGTGCAGGAAGCCTAGCAGGTACCCCGACATTCCTCAAGAAAAGGTCAAGTGCTTACCTCTACCCCTCTCCACACACATACTGTTGCCATCTGCTGCTCCTCTCTCTCTCTCTCTCTCTCTCTCTCTCTCTCTCTCTCTCTCTCTCTCTCTCTCTCTCTCTCTCTCTTTCATTTAATTATTTTATTTATTTATATCTAATGTTTTATTATCACATACTTGTTTAGTTGTGATATTCCTTATTATCCTTCCGTCTCTCTGACTCCATTCCTCTTTTTGCTATACGTGTGTGGATGTACAAGTGTAAATGTGTGTAAGTGCTCATCGCTCTTAGTGTACCGTGCAATTTCTGAACATTTGGAGAACCATTCTTAGGTGACATCCGACCTGGCTTCGCTGACTGCTATACTGCCCTGTGTTACTGTACCGGCAATGTCTTACCACAGGATACTCTACTTAAAGTGCTATAACACGTAATATGCTCCATAATGTACCACCACATATTGTTATAGCACATACTGTTCCAACTCCAGGGCACCACACACACACACACACACACACACACACACACACACACACACACACACACACACACACACACACACACACACACACACACACGCAGAACAACAACAACTACTACTACTACTACTACTACTACTACTACCACTACTACTTTTACCGCACCCAACACCACAAAACAATAACAACGTCAAGCACAAAGAGAAACTTCCATAACAATAGACTGGCCTTCATAATCCTATATGATGTTTCCACCCAATAATGAGTGTGTCGTCACGTTTCCAGGCTGGTATGTTCTATGTTCCGCGTTACATGTGGAAAAGCTGGGAGGGCGGACGAGTGAAAGGATTGGTAAACGAACTCAATCTCCCCATTCTGTCCTCTGATCTGAAAAGGGCACGCATGACTATCGCCGTCGACTACTTCAGAAGGAATCTCCATCATCACAACCTCTATGCTTACCAGTTCTTCGTCTGTGAGCTGCTCAACTTCGTCAACGTGGTCGGCCAGATCTTTTTAACTGACAGGTTAGTTAACGGGGTCTTGTGAAAGGTTAATTTTTTTCTTTCTTCTCCTTCTCCTTCATTTTATTGTTATTATAATTATTATTAGTTGTAGTAGTAGTAGTAACAGTAGCAGTAGTTGTTGTAGTAGTTGTAATATTAGTGGTGGTAGTATTACTGTTATTATTGCTCCTGTTGTTATTGTGGTTCTCTTCAGATTCTTGGACTTCGGGTTCTCCGATTACGGACCGAGGGTGGCGCAATATACCATGGACTCAAGCATCGGTCATGACCCAACGGACGAGATCTTCCCTAAGGTGGCCAAGTGCACCTTCCACAAGTTTGGTCCTTCGGGAACCATCATGCGCCACGACGCTCTCTGTGTCTTGCCACTCAACATCCTCAACCAGAAGATCTACACCTTCCTCTGGTTCTGGTGAGGTGCTGTCGAGCCTTTTGTTTATATTGTAGTAGAGTAGACTTGGGGCTTTGGTGAGCTACGGGGAAGCTCTGGTCCTGGTAAGATAATGATGATTATATTATTAGTAGAAAAATATCACCTTAAAATTTAGGTGAGATCTTGTGAGTTCATTTGGTATTGAAATAGTGTAAACTGTTTATTCTATTGAGACAAGAGCCTTTCAGGCTTACATACATGTGAGATTGTGTGTATTGTTGTAGCCCACTTTGTTGCCTCTAACATTGTTATATAGTACTACATTATATAGAGAAATACTAACAAACGTGATGCCTCTTAGGGTGAAGCTTTTTGTGATGTTTACTCTATAACAGAGCTCAAGGTGGAGCTTCTCTTTTGTGTTGACCAGTGATGTGGAGGTGCTGAAGAGACATAGACTTATAGTTTTAAAGATAATCAGACAAAAATTAGATTTAAGGCAATGTTTGGGCTTTAGAAAATGGTGAAGAGAAACATATTTGTGGGACAATTACCTGTATACTGAAGGTGGAATCCTACGTCGGCAGGTTCGTGGTGGTGGCGATCATCTCCGCTTTTGGTCTCCTCTACCGCCTGGCCACCTTAACCTCAAGCTTCCGCCATCTCCTCCTCCGGGGACGCTCTCGCTTGGCCTCCGCAGAAAAGGTGGAGTCCATCTCCCGCAGGTGCCAAATAGGAGACTGGTTCATTCTATATCTCCTGGGTGAGTATCATACTCTGTGTACTGTATGTTTGGTTGGTTTATATCCCGTTCATCTGCTGTCTCACTAGCTGTGGGTCCTTCCGTGTTTACATAACAATGGCATCATCGCATTTCCTGTCTAGATTTCGGCACGATAGGCCGTGTCGTTGAACTGGCTGGCAGTTACACATGTAAGACAGGACCACTCAGTGAAGTTAAAATGATTTCAGAAGTTGCATGTCCCTGATGATTTCAATTAACTTCCAAACAATGCGGAAAAGAATAATCACAACAGATATGATTTAGTTTTCTTTTTAATTGTGACATTTGTTAAATTATAAAAGTTGTATTAACAATAATTAGTAATATTTTTGCTCTTGGTTGCGTTTTATTAAATTATGTGGATATAATTCGACCGACTTCAGGACAAAACTTTAATTAGGTAATTTCGTTTACAAACATATCTTACAAATACATGAACTCGTCACTGTAGAAAACCCCTACAATACCTACTGGGCTAAAATACTGTACATCATCCATCTTCTGAGCGAGGTGATTCTAACTTGTTGATCAACCATGAATTTGATTAGTTTCATGTCCCTTTGTTAGGTCTGTGTTTACCTGACCTACACCACCTGTAAAAAAATTTCTTTCAACATTTTTATTTGGTGTTTTTTTTTTTATTCAGAAATCAATAAAGAACATTCTGAATTTCAGCTAAGAACATGGACCCATTCGTGTATAAGGACTTCGTCAACGACCTGAGCGAAAAGTTGGGTGATAAAGAGCATCTTTCCTAGTGGGGGTCAACCACAAAACACAGACGGCAACCAGGACTTCTCTGTGTTATGCTACATTCACCACATTCCACCACAGATATCTATGGGTGATTCTTCCATACTCTTATCACCAGTAAGTAAGGTTAGGTTTGCCGTTCTATGCCACCAAAAAGTCTATCAGAAACCATTACATTTGAATATGGTTGAGTTTGCCCGTTTCCGTCCTCGTTAAATCTGCCGCATTCAATCAGTGTTAACTACAGCTGATCCATAGTACGTTGGCGTTTACCATGACACTTGTCTAAATTTCTATGAATGTTTCTTGTATGTCTTACTTCTGTTGATCATCTCATTTTATAAATGAGTTGTTTATGCCGACCAAAGATGGGTGCGAAATGTATCAAGAGTTTGTATACCCGCTCTTGTGCAGAAACATTATTAGAATGAAGTATGTAATTCCAGTGATAATTTATAATACATTATGATTCGCCATTGACTTTTTCTTATCCACTAGCCTGAACCCTGTCTCACAAATATATCATGACGCATTATAGACATATTTGATTCACTAAAATATAATATATCAATTTAAGATTTCAGTTTTATAGGTTTTGTAACAACGAAACCTTAAAAAAACTGTATTGTCGTTTGACGTGACATATGCATACACGTGTTGTCCATACAGTACGTGAGAGGAACAATGTGTATATTGTTGTCCTTGCTGAAGAGGTTCTGTCATATGCCAATCATTCACTGTCATTCCAAACTCTTTCTCCTCCCCCCCCCTCCCCTTCCCAGTCAATAGCCTTCCCAGCACGTCTCTGTGCCATGTCCACCACAGACCCCCACCACCCTCCCCAGAGTAACGAGGTATTGCAATCTGTTTTTTTATGTGTGACAGTTAGTTAATACGTTTAGACAGACAGAATATTCCCCAGAAATGTCATAGTTCTCTCGAGTATTTTCACCTGCTTTTTGTGTCACCTCTTAATTACCGTGCACACCTTCCTCAGTTCAACACCTTTGGCCGGCTTTAAGGAATTTGGTCGCAGGTAATGTATTGCTAAATGCATGAGTCATAAAGGCAAGCATGAACTTAGCATGCTTCCCAGTTGGGCACTGTAAACGCTTCTGCGCTTCACCTTGCATAGGATGTAAGGGGGTGCCCAATAAACTAGCCCCCTGTAAAAGAATCTGTAAAAGAAATCTAATCGGTAATGTGTTGTACTCACAGTAGTTGATATTAGTTCACCGTAGTCTCAGAAGGCCATGATAAGTGCACACACACACACACACACACACACCCACACACACACACACACACACACACACACACACACACACACTCACACATTAAAACTATAAAATAACGCTTGTATCCACTTACCATAAACTGGAAGACAGTGAGATAAAACGAAAATAAATTGGTTTGGAGAGAGTTTAGGAAGCCGCTAAACACAGTTCTCTCAACTACCGAAAACAAAATCCATCTAAACTGAGCGTAATTGTAGGAAGTGAAGAAGGACTTAAGAAAGATTATTCAAGGGAAAACAAAACTGCCTCTCTCTCTCTCTCTCTCTCTCTCTCTCTCTCTCTCTCTCTGCTTTGGGGTGTATTACGTCACTCACAGGTCTATTACGTCATTGTTTGCCTAATTACGTCATCAACTGTTTGTAGTGTTTCTTATTTTAAGGCTAATGCGTCACGGTGCATCTGTAACCCGATATTTTGCGTCATGCTCTGGGTTACTGCGTCATCTATCCACAACACTCCGTCTATTGCTGGATGTGGCTACTTCATCCATTTTACTGTTGCTCTTCATCCAATGGGTTACTCTGCGCCAACTGTTGAGGTAATGGAATCTTATGTTTGGGGCACAGTATTATCAGCTGTTTATATTACGTCATTGGCCGGATTACTACGCCATAACCAGTAATACTTCATGAGCTAGTGAACGACCTAATGAAGGAGTCGGGTATAAATGTGTCGGCCTCACACGGTTGTTATGACCAACGTGAGGTCATTGATAGCAGCTAGAGACGTGTGGTGGTGGTGGTGGTGATGTGGTCTCCGGGAGCTCAGTACACGTGTTTAGTGCTGACTGTTGCAGAAATAACAACACGAAGATTACCACAGACGCAATAGCTTATTTCACCTGATGATTAAACACCCTAGAGCTAACATAACATAACATAACATAGCATAACACAACGTAATTTTAGCCCCTAAGTAGCTTTGGGTATTTTAATCATCATGTGATATAAGCTGGGGAACCAATCTTCATGTGATCCCGATGTACTCTCCAACAGTTACCTCTCACCACGCAGCCAAGAAGAGCGAGTCGATCGAATGGCTACATCACTCACCTCCTATTCCAGGGCGCTACCAGTTCACCCAGTTGTAGTTGGGTACTTAAGTTTACGACTTGGGGAAGTGAATGCGGTCACTGCGGTCGAGTGCAGTACTGGCCATACTGCCTCCCTGTGTATCGAAGACTTAGAATACTATGTGTTGTATCCACGCTGTCCCTTTTACTTTTCACACAAGCAATATTATTTTTGTGGGATAAACAATGGAGACGCAACAGAGTCTGGGTGTATAGGTATTCTCGCTGGCTGGATGTATGATTGATATTTTGTTTTGTGCAGCTTTGGTCGTCATTCATAGTTAAAAGTAAAGTAGTTTATTTAAAAAGAAAGTTACAGAAAATATTGGTACGATTGTAATAGTATTGATATGGCTGAGCTTTTTATTTATAGCTGCGGCACTTAATAAAACACTACATCATAAAAATATAAGGTCTTTATAACTCATAGTTAAAAAATTATACTATTTAGATTATCATATTTTCATAACTCACTATATAATCAATGTGACAACGTTCGTTTTTTTTTCCTGTAAAAATATTTTCTGCCTCCTGTGTACTGTCCCAATTACGCTGCTTAATTTAGGTAATTAGTTTGTTGGAACCATTTTGTCTAACCACCGAGGAGGTAATATATTTTCCATTATAAAAGTAAAGGAAAAAACATAAATTGAATGGATTACTAGTTCTGTGCTCTCTCGTGCGTACTGGAAGCTTTATCATATTTACACTGCCCATTATTAACAACGCTGACGAACAGATCTTAACATGCGGGTCATAACTCTTATCCATTAAAAAGTCTTAAGCACTCCTACGATCCCCTCAGAAAAAGCCTGGCCAGGACTTAGCGGGCATCAGGGTCCTTTACGTGTTGTGAACTACAATCTGATCCACCTTACACTCTCACTACTAGATGGTTTTAGTATAGACCAGGAGGACTGTATAAGTAATATATTAGCGTCAGTTGCTCCCGAGATTATGTCAGACAGTGTATTTTACAGAGATCATCAATATAGGAATCACCTCCAAGATAACTAAGACATCTTGTGGTCATTGGTTAAAGATCTTCAAAGTTTACACTAACAGGTTCACTTCAGAGAGGAAAGAGATCCCTCACAGCAGATGAGGGAAAAGATGAAACATAAAGACGATGACGCGTGTTGACCTCAAGATGAGTCGGCCAGGTCTATAGATATTAATTATGAATGACTGACTGATTCATTTACTGACTTTCTTATTCTCGGCCAATGTGACACAACTTAAGACCAAATCTCATATAAATGATCCTTATCTGATGTTAGAGTTTACTTAACATTACCAACCTGTAACCCCCCTCCCCCTACACACACACACACACACACACACACACACACACACACACACACACACACACACACACACACACACACACACACGCACACACACTCTAAACAAACAATTAAACCATCTTATCGTACACTATATCCAACCTAAAACAAGAAATTCTCCCCCAATATCGAAACATCAGAGTTAAAATTCCACATATGTCCCGGAGATTCATCTTGAGGGTATTACTTTGATAAGCCTTCATGGTAAAGGAGAGCTGTGTTGGTGGTGTTGCCTCAGAGAGCAGCTGAAGCACACCGCCAGCTCCTACACAGAAAGGAAAATATTGCCAACCACTAAACCTGCTCCAGGTTATCTGTATCCAATTTTCTCTCGGGTTCAGGCGAATATTTCTTTGACCCGGCAAACTTTTCTATTGGATATAAGTCAACCAGTGTTTGCTTTGTGTGTGTGTGTGTGTGTGTGTGTGTGTGCGTTCTAAATAAGATATTGTTTAATTATGCAGTTTATTTCCTTGTAGTTGTTATTTGTTTTTGTTGTAACGGTTGTACGTGGGTTTTGCTTGTATAATTGTTGTTAGTGTTAGCTGTGTGTGGTTGTTGCTTGAGTTGGTTGATAGTTGTAACTGTTTATATGGGTTGTATAAGGTGTCTGTGTATCATGGTTGTGTTGTGAATGTGTGCAGTTGTTGTTATTTGAGACTGATTATGCCCATTTAATTCTTAAGTGTGGTTGTAGTATTATGGTTATACTATATGCATTATGTAGTTGTGAGTAGAAATAAGTTGTTGTAATACATGTCTTACAGTTGTTGTGATCGTGTCTTGTGGGTTAAGTTGTGGTTCTATAATGTTGTTATTTGTTTTGGTTGAGTCTTTGGTTGTGTGTACCGTGATCTGGCTATGAGCAGAGGTCGGGAGAGTAAAAATCTAATGATATTATTTTAGTACTTTTAAACCTGAATGAAAGCGAGTACCAGGACTAAAACCAATTGAGTTTTTATCGTTGTTGAACTAGTGTATAACGAACATTGCTACATGCTTAAAGACCTTCCTTGTTGAAGTGCAGTCATAACATTATAACAACAACAACCCAAATTTTCTCTTAAACACGATTTCCATTTTTTATGACGAAAATTTTTAAAAATTAAAAGTCACATAATTACTTTGAATAATACAATTTAGGTCAATAACTGAGATGGTGTTAAAATTGGAAAGTGACAGAAAAGAGCCAAAATAGGTAGAAAAGTGAATAAAAATGGGAAATGCTATTACAGGAACCAACAGAAAGGACATAACAATATGGAGAGAAACATTACAGACAAGGCAACTACGTTTATTTAAAGAAAATGACCAGAAACATGAAGAAAAACATAATAAAAGGGTAAAGAAGAGAAGGGAAGCTATGTAAAAGGCCACTTACTATGTGCACAGGTTGGGACATGGGCTAGGTCACAGGCTGGGGCACAGAATGGGATACAGGATTGGACACAGACTGGGACATGGGCTAGGACACAAGTTTGGACACAGGCTGGGACATGGGCTAGAACACAAGTTTGGGCACAGGCTGGGACATGGGCTAGGTCACAGGCTGGGGCACAGAATGGGACACAAGTTTGGACACAGGCTGGGACATGGGCTAGGACACAGACTTAGACACATGCTGGGATATGGACTGGAAGACAAGTTAGGACACAGTCATTAAGAGATAAAGTGTTTCTCATCCAGAGTGTCTCGAGACGAACAGGAAAGACTAGTTGTGAAATATTGTTATAATCTACGTATAAGTAGGTCGAATAATT